CTTATATCAGAGAATAAAGATCTGATGAAAGAAAAATCCAAGACAGAGTCATATTTACGGGCTGCTGAGTCTGATGTTATGGAGCTCAAGCAGAAGCATGAGAATGATGTACAATGTCTAGTTACTAAACTAGAAGCTTCCACTGCCCTCCTCCAGAGACTTCAGTTGGAAACTGAGTCTATCATGGAAAAAATGAAGGTTTTTACTGAAGCTGAACACAATTATGAGAGCCATCACATGGACTTTCTTTCTCGTCTTGACTATTTTGAGAATGAAATGCATCTACTTGTGGCCAAGAACGAGGGACTTGGTCAAGAGATTAGTGAATTAAGCTCTGTAGCTATTGAACATGGAAGAACCAAGCTGCTTGTGGAAGAACTGGCTGAGGAAAAAAAATGTGTTCTGGTTTCTCTTCAGGATAAATCTCAGGAAACGTTGCGTCTTGTGCGTGAGCTTGAAAATCTAAAATCAACATTTGACCACGAGTTGGGACTTGAAAGAAACTTGAGGCAGGAACTAGAAATTAAGTTGCAAGATATTACATCTGAGTTGAACGCAAAAATTTCCAAATTGATGAGCTTTGATGAGCAAAGCTCTGAGTTGGTCCGGCTTAAGCAAATTGTTTCCGATCTGGAGGTGGAGAAGGCAACTCACATTCTTTCTCTGACAAGATATGAAACATCTCTGAGAAGCTTGAATCGTGATTCATCATATATTTCCGATTTGGAATCTCAGTTACTTGAAATAATGGAATCTTCATTAGCAGCAGATATCCAGCTTGTTTTCACAAGAACTGAATGGGAAACTTATGCTGACAAGCTCCACAAGGAACATTTTGAGGTACTGACTGCGTTCAATGACTCTCGTAATGTAGGATCCCAGCATATGGATGCTAATATAAAGTTGTTGGCAGATCTTGACTCCGCAAAATCAGAACTGAAAGTTGAGAGAAATTTGAGAAACAACTTAGACAGCAAAGTTGAAGAACTCGCCGCTGAGTTAGATGAAAAGCATTTATTGTTGAAGAACTTCGATTTGCAAAAATCTCAAGTGGAACTTTTGGAGAAGATGGTAGCTGAGTTGGAATCTGAAAAGTCTTGTCAACGTTTGGAGTATGTTAGAAATGCTCATCGAGAGTCTTCTTTTATTGAAGAACTGTTTCAATGTCTAATGGCTGCTGATGTTCAGCTTACTTTTACAAAGATCCAGTCTGATATATGTATCAGTGACCTTGCAGAACAACTTAGTTACTGCTCTAAGAGCCACCTTGAGTTTCAGAAGAAGTACAGTGATGTGGAATCTGCCCTTAACCACTGTCTAGTCAACAAAACACGGTATATGGAAGAAAACAGTCAGTTATTGATTAGTCTTGAAGTCTTAAAGTCTGAACTAGAGTCTTCCATGGCTGCAAGTAGAGCTCTTGCTGATAGAAATGATGAAATGTCAGTTGAACTTAAACAGTACGCAACTAGGGATAAGAATGCAGAAAGAAGTTCCCTTGAAAGAAGCTTATGTGCTCATGAGGTTGAGCAATTGAAATCTTTGTTGGTTGGGCATGAAGAAGAAATAGAAAATTTGACGGTGTTAAAGGCTGAGGCGGAAATTACTGTTGAGATACTAAAAGATAAACTAACTGGGATGTGTGTAAAAGGTGCCAGTGAGCTTGAAACACTGAAAAATAGGTGCAGTGATCTCACGCTGAAGCTCTCTGAGCAGATTTTGAAAACAGAGGAGTTCAAAAGCTTGTCCAATCATTTGAAAGAGCTTAAGGACAATGCTGAAGCTGAATGCAATCGTGCCCGTGAAAAGGCCGACTATAAAGCCCCGCTAACCCCACAGCAGGAGTCATTGAGAATCATTTTCATCAAAGAACAGTATGAAACCAAGCTGCAGGAACTTCAATATCAACTGACCATGTCCAAAAAGCATGGTGAGGAGATTCTGATGAAATTACAAGATGCCATTGATGAGAACGAAGCAAGGAAAAAGGCAGAATCCAGCCATTTAAAGAGAACTAAAGAGCTGGGAGATAAAATATTGGAATTGGAGGCTGATCGACAATCTGTCATCCACGATAAACGTGAGAAAATGACGGATTATGACATGATGAAGGCTGAGCTGGATTGTTCATTATTAAGTCTTGAGTGCTGCAAAGAAGAAAAACAGAGCCTTGAAGCTCTTCTGCAGCAATGCAAAGAGGAAAACTTGAAACTGTCCAAAGAACTAGAATCATTGAGAGAACTAGTACAATGTCGCAGCTCTCACAAAAATACTGAAAGGGGAGACCATGATAGATTGAGCATGGATGATCGTGTATCAGAGTTGGCTGACAAAAGTATATTTGCAGTGTCGTCAGGCGACTTGGTGAACCATGAGCAAAGAGATGGTGCTTGTCTTGTTCCCACAGTGGGTACCATCAGTCCCAGGTCAAACATTCAGGTAACTGTCTGTTAGATCTTATTTAGATTAGCATTTATGTGGAAGTTAGATTTCTTCATAAACATGGTATCATAGACTGTATGTAAAAATTAGTTCTCTTCCATCTTCTTTATGACTGTTATGTGTAACTAGTTTATCAAGCTGGTAAGGACTAGACTACTACGTATTTTGATTTTATTTACCTAGTTATCTGTTAAGCATATTGTTTTTTGTGACTCAACGAGAAAGAAGGTGCTATAGTTAGTTACTCATCATGCTTATTAGTTATTATATTTATCTTTTAATGTATGTTTATTGTTTATCAGGGGGCTATTCAGTTGAGCAGTGTAAATGGAAACGGAGACCAATTACCTTCCGGAGAAGCAATGTCGCTGGAAAAAAGTGAAGAAAGCCTTGCTATGATCAATAATAATTTCAGGGCAGAGACTTTAAGGTCTAGCATGGATCACTTAAACGATGAGGTAATATTTGTGTTGTCCGTTACAATTTCTAATGAGTGGATTTAAAAGAACTGGAGGTGTTAATATCTGACTTTGATTGGATTGGATGGCAATTTTATATCACAATGTCTACCTGTTGGTTCAGTATCTACAGAGCGAATTTATGTTTTGTGCCTAGTGTCACTGGATTTTTTTTGTCTTCGTTACAGCTAGAACGGATGAAGAATGAAAATCTACTTCAACCTCAAGATGACAATGATTCAGACGCCAGATTTCCGGGTTTGGAACATGAGCTGATACAATTGCGTCAGGTGCGGATGATTATTTACCTTTTAGAGATTGTAATATATTGAAGCATGAGTGTTCAGAAGTCTTATGATCATCTTTCCAACAGGCAAAGGAAGAACTTCAGAGTATCTTCCCTCTATCTCATGAGAACTTCAGTTGCGGAAACGCATTGGAAAGAGTTCTTGCACTGGAAATAGAACTTGCTGAGGCATTGCGTGGAAAGAAAAAATCAACCATCCATTTCCAGAGGTACGTCACTCTGAATTCTGTTATTTATATGAAAGATTCTGCAGGAATGGGTAGAACTATACGAGACGTTAAACTTATTCATTTTTGCCTGAAATTGCAGCTCTTTCTTGAAGCAACACACAGATGAGGAAGCTATTTTCCAGAGTTTCAGAGACATAAACAATCTAATTGAAGAAATGCTGGAGACCAAAGGCCGGTATTCGTCTATGGAGACTGAGCTTAGGGAAATGCATGACCGTTATTCCCAGCTAAGCCTCAAGTTTGCAGAGGTTGAAGGAGAGAGACAAAAGCTCATGATGACTCTGAAGAACGTTAGGGCATCAAAGAAGGCTATGCTCTTGAACCGTTCCCCATCAGCAACTCTTGGTGAACATTAGTGCACAGATGTTACTTACTATGTATATAAGTTCCAAGAAATGTTGAATAAGTCGTAACAGTGGTCTCGAGTTATAGATAGTTTAATATTAATTGTTCTTTAGTCAAGATAAGGGGTTATCAAAGTGATGTGTCTTCTCTGTATTGTATAGAAACCCAATATTCTACACAGATATAGTGGCATGTCTTCCTTCATTACCAGTAAACCTTCTGTTATTTTCCTGTTGTTGAAGATATTGTATATTATATAAAACCAGAGCAATGACATCTATCCAAACAGATTAGTCTTACGATCTGGTCTTAAAAGCCTTACCAAACAGATTGGTTCATTTACACAGGGAACATCATAGTTTCCTCTTCTTTTTTATTTTTATAACTATGACGTTCTTTGTAATTAACTCTTAGACCCGCCTGTTAAGTGTTAACTAATATTTTGCTAATCATACTCTTGTGGCCACAGATTAGGGGACAAGTCAGCTTCTGTGCTTCAGAGGCAGCTCTCGGCTACACAGTGCTCTCAGCAACCAGTTCCTCAACACAAGGAAACGGGAAACCATATTGAAGAAAGTTTTCACTTGTCAGGTTATTGGTGTCAATACTACTAAACGGCAATTTAGCAGTAGAATAAACAGGCATGGAAGAGACTTGGATATCTCAAGGTATATCTATCTTGTTCACCTAGCAGTGGAAGAAATGTGAAGAGATTGTTCATCTACATAATTTTATTCTTCTGAGATAGTAGTATCAGTGTCTCAAAATAGGAAAATATACAAACGTGAACCATATATGACTTAGTCCGAACCAGAGCGATATAATTCTATCCGAATCAAGCGATATCTTACTATGTATGCTTTTTCATGAGTTCATTATTGGCACAAAAAAAAAAAAAAAAAAAAAAAGAGAATCAAACTTTGAATCTAACAAGAAAATATATATTTGAGCTAAAACGTATTTTGTTACTGATAAATTAATATTTGATAAATTTGGAATATACAAACAAACTCATAGTAAATATCCATACTATAAACTAAAGAAAAAAAAATCCTAGAATATCGTAAAATCTCAACAGTTCATTATTAGAAAAAGTCAAACAGTAATTAAAAATAAATCTCAAATCTCATTCTAACTACAAGAGTTCATATATGTTTATTGAAAAGTGCATTTACAGAAGACAAAAGTTGCCACAAACTCTAAAAGCACATCTTTATAATGGATCATTTAGTTGATGACAAAGTATCCTTCAACCATGAGATCGACCCCAACCCTAAACCTGAAGACGCCGGAAGAATCAAAGTCTATGCAAGTATCCTAATGTCGGAAGAACCTATAAGAGATTGTCAGACAGTGCTGTCTTTCTCCTTGCCTGCCAAAGACATCTTGGATAGCTTAGCGAGGTATAGATGGGAACAGCTGAACTGCTTAAAGGAAGATGAACGTTTAACTCACTTTCAGGTTGATTATGGGATTGATCAACTCAACGAACTTGTCGTTGGTATCATATTTTCCTTCATCAACATCTATCGAGATTGTGCTTTTTCATTTTATATAACTTTCAAGTTCAATCCTCCTATCCCGATTGAAGTGTATGCGATTGCGCTGTATTTCCAGTATACGGAATCACTAGAAGAACCTTGGCTATTCGGAGACTCATCTGATGACAGAACCATTGATATCCAGTGTAGACCGGCATGTAAGTTTGCGGTTGAGTCTTTGTCAAGGAAAGTATACACGAAGACGTCCAGCTCCGACATATGCACTATATGTTTTGATGAGTTTAAAATGGGAGAAAGCGTCGTGACCTTACCCTGTGGACACGAGTTTGACGATGGCTGTATCCTCGAGTGGTTTGCCAAAAGTAATGTTTGTCCATTGTGCCGTTTCAAGCTACCATGTGACAATATATGAGCTTTTAGTACTTAGAATTTGGTCTCATACATTGTTTTTAAGGGTTTATAAAGTAGAGTTTTTAATAAATTTGGTTTTTCATTTAGCTCATTATGTTTCTGGAGTTCTTTCTATCTTTTGTAACTCTTAGATCAATGCCACTCATTGGCACAAGTAATTGAAGTCTTTTTGCTCTACCAACAGAGTACTGTTTCTCTACTTTTACTAACATATCGACCTTTGATTGAGTAAATTAGTGAAAAAAGTAAAAACAAATCACTTCCAACAGTATTATAAGAAAAACCATCTTTCAAGAATAGTTGTACATTTTGTGGGAGCCATTTTTGATAGAAAAAAAATGAAAAATAAATTAACAAACCACACACATGGAACCAAATTCTATAATGAAGATCATTTGTTTTCATGTCTATACCAATCATTTTGTACTGAAGGAACTCCTCAAAGCTTGTTTGAAGCTATGGAAGCTGTTCCATGGAGCAATCATCCAATGCTCCATGAAGGATATAATTCTCTATGATCCAGTTTACTTTGCAGCTACAAAATCGTGCACATACAACGATTCTTCATTGGTGGATCATTCTGCAGTTTGTCTGAAGAGAAAAAAAAAACAGAAAAATTTCATACAGTGAGACAATATGACCATGATCTCTCAAATAATAGTAGTTAGCAGCAAAACCTATGGGAGAAAACATAGAAGAAATTGGAATTTGAAAACCAAAACTGCAAGCTGAGGGAAAACATATATTTTCTAGTACTGTGATAATCAGTATATACTGAGTTAAGGAAAATAACCGGTCTTTTTGTCTAGCGAAGGAGGGCGAAGAACAACATGCATAGTGATGACCACTCCAGGAAGTTCCCCAACCGGAAGCTTGGATTCCGCAAGAGTCCTATTGTTCTCCAGTATTTTCCCGGCATTGATAAGCTTCACATCATTTATAGTTTTTGGAGTATACTCTTTGTCTGCCAGATAGTGAAAACTCAACCTTAAGTAGTAGAAACCACAGCACATAACCACAGAAGATCGTAAAATGCAACTACATATCCTAATAAGGCCAAGGAACAACAAATAACTTAAACAACGAAAATCCAGGACACAATACAACTTTGAGACATCAATCTTATACTCCCAAGTTATAGTCAAAATCAGTTGCTAAAGTAGACCTTATCACACTATACAACTACCTATATAGATTTATATTCTCATAGTTAACTAAAGTTCAACACCTAGCGCTAGCCCAAGAAAGCGTTCCACCATACCCAAATGAAAAAGGCAGAAAGAAACATGAAGCAATCAAATCAAATGAGTCAAAACAAGTATAATAATAAAGTACCTTGAGGCCATTGAGAAATGATTTTCTCTTTAAGAGAAGAAACAGTCATGGATTGATCATACTTGCTCGGACCTATATCTGTACCATCCGCGAGTCTAAACTTGAGTTCTACACAATCTTCATCACCAGCCATGTCCTTTTCAATTTCCCCCACAAACAATAATCTCTCTAAAAGAGAATAAACTCAAAACTCTTCTCTGAGGAAAATCATCGAACACCTTTACAGGATTTGCTCACCAACCCAATTACAAAACCCAGAAACAGGGCAAATCAACAAAAACCCAAATCAGCTCTCGTGGAAGATTTTCAAATCCCAGTTGCTAAAATGCACAAAACCAACGCGCCAAGCAAGCAAGGAAAAATAAAAATCAAATTTTTAAATATTTTTTTACTATAACGATGGCTTATAACAAAAGATCAGCCGTTCTGAAGAAGAAGAAGAGATCCAAATTTATAAAACTGATGAAAAAATTTCGATAAAGAAGAGAAATTTAGGAAGAAGAAGAAGAAAAGAGAGACACTTTGGACTTTGGTTGAAAGGCTGTCTTTGAGCAGCACATAACACAAATTGGGAAACTTTTTTAATTTTTGATTTTGGTTTCTTTGTTAAGTCAGATTCTTCTCTCTTCTTCTTCTTCTTCTATAATCAATCCTACCTGAATCCTTCAATTGACTTTTCTACCCCTAAATATTCCTAAATTAATATCTTCAATAAAGCTGACTTTTTTTCATTATTATTAAGGGGCTTAATCACTAATCAAAATATATAAAATTTGTCCATTAGACTTGAAACTTAGATTGTTTGATGGTGATAATATAGTTTTAAAAACAAAATAAGCGTTAATGATGTTAGTCTAAAAGACTCTGGCCATGTTGTACAATATCAAAATGAACAAGTGGATTTTTCAATGATTTCTTTTTTTAATTATTCGTATGAAGTGGGTATTGATACTTCCTTTGATATTGAACTCTTAACACCCATTATATTTCTTGTTTTAATACGTTGGTTTGGTTGGGCATATATGCCAAATTTTTAGTACAGTATATGTGATTTGTAACCAATGATTAGAGGGGCAATTCTGGAATTTGGGATGACCATAAGCATATTGTTGCAATCTCGAGTAATTAGAAAATGGCAGCCACCAAACTTATATAGAAGGCTATAACTACTTTTAACTAATTGGCAATTATTTTATGGGTTTAAGACCATCCTCTTCTACTCAATCGTAGTTATGGTTCTTTTGAAACATTGATCAACATTATATAGACATGACAAGGAACATCTAGTGATCTAGACATGTAAAAACTAAGGTGTATTTACAAATTACAAATCAAAATTAGTTTGGTTCAGATGGTTGAAATTGATATTTTCACCCATAAAAATAACTTCCTTTAAAACGCCAACCAAGTATCATTATGGAGAAAACTTTGGTCGTGCATGCCACTAAAAGAAACCAATATACTGTACAAGTGTTCATGCCTTTAGCTGGAATAAATAACAGGCTAGCTAGTGATATTTAGATATATATGCATTCAGAAAAAGAAGACTGTTTCTTTCATATCAGATTAAAGTATAACCAAATGTCAAAAAATTAATCATAGAATTGATTCGTTGAAATATATATATCAAAAGCAGCTTTCATATAAAGAAAAAAAAAAAAGAAGATAAAAAAGAATAGAGGTGAAGTGTGAATATGAGAATCCAGAATTTGGTTTGCTTTAGAGCATATGATGCGTTCTTTAAAAAAAAATCTTTACTTCTGCTTCTGCCTTCTTAGGTCCACCATTACAGAAGCAAGGAGATTATCAAAGTGTTGTTAAACTTCAGAGTTCATTCCAAGGAAGAGATTCTATACCGAACAGAGTATTCCCGGTTAAGCAAAAGGATTCCAAAAAATGTGATCTCCCCGGGTAAAAGTTGAGATGATTGACCAATTTAAGGAAGAGGTTTCAAGACCTTTTTGTGGTAGACTGTTTCAATTGCCTAAATCAGATACACACCATAAGCTGCAAATTTTACCTGAAACTTTCTTTCTTTTACAAGTTTCTCTAATACTAACTACAGAAATATGTATGCAGAAGCAAACTTATGTTACAGATTCACAAGTTTTGCTATTGAACTGCTAGTGTATATTTGATAGATAAAACCATTATTATATATTTGTCACAACGTTTTATTACTTAAGCTTATTCTGGCAGCCAAATGCCAGACGAATGGATGATCCAAGAATTAGACATTAAAATCTTTGGAAGAACATCTCATAAGCTTCAGGTTTTTGCTTCCAGCTGTACACAGAGATTTCTCAATGTCCCACGAGAAATGGGAAAAAGCTTCTGACTTCATATATCTATAACTTGGCAGCTAACGAGTTCAGCAGCACCAAAGTCCTTGGTTGCAATGAGTTTCCAGATAACAGTATCTGACTTGTCAGGTGCATTGGCCTTTTCACTCAAAGACCGTGAACCCGAAACAGAACTGGAGCTAGATGATGGTGATGACACTGGGATGTTCGGGACATCAGCTCGTAAGACTGTAACGTTACGATTAGGGTCTCTAGTAATGAAATGAAGCTTGCCGTGAAACCCAGCAAGCAAATATGGAGATTCTGAATCTGTTAAGTCATAAATAGGGACTTCACCTATAACAACTTTCCAAGTATCTTCCTTTTGATCATACACTTTAATCTTCCCATTCTCCATCGAAGAAGAAGGATCAAATGCATATAACTCGCCATCCACCACAACACTCAGTTTTGTGCCTGCTTGCCTCGCAGGCCAACCTTCACCCATACCAGACGGCATTTCAACCCAGAGATTAGTCTCGGGATCATAAACTTCTCCTCCAACATCAACAAAGAAAGGCCAAGAGTATAAACTCTGAGGAACACATAACCTACCATTGTAACAAGTCATCCCCGTGGCAATAGGCTTCAATAAGTCAGCCAAAAACGCATTTGGCAACACTTGCGCCTTTGAGAAAGGCATGCTCGGGACCTCTGACCAAGCATCCGTGCTTGGATCATAAACCTCAGCTGACTGAAGCGGAGATAAACCTCCCCGTCCCCTATCAACACCTCCAACAACATATAGTTTTTTATTCAACACACCTGTTTTTGAATAAGCCCGACTCGCTAACATAGAACTCACTTCACTCCAAGAGTTAAAAATGGGATCAAACCGCCAAACACAGCTCACTGTTTGAGACCTAGAGAGCCCACCAAGAACATAAAGACACCCATCGACCGCCCCAATAGCGCAGCCACAAAAAGGCATTTGCTCAGATGAGTCCTTCCTTGCAAACAAGCTCCTCACAAACTCAGTAACTCTAAAACTCGGGCTAACCATGTCCCACAAACCATACGAACTCTTTCTAGACTCTTCTTCGTAAACAACAACCGGCATTGGAGGCAATCTCTGCCATATCGTGGAGACAGGATCTAAAGCATACCACAAAAGCTTATCCTCCTGACCTTTAGTAAGCACATAGAGCCACTCCTCAGTTCTCCCAAGTTCTTTCCTCAAACTATACACCTCAGAGGTCGATACAGCTGATCTCCACCTCCGAGAAACCAACCTAACACTAGAGTAACAAATCCTAGGAAGCCTAGCAAGAATCTGTATGGATAACTCATCCGGAAGACTTGGAATCAATCTGCAATACTCATCATCAGCATCATCATCAGTCTCTGAACACGTCTTTCGTCTTTTACGAGATTCGTTTGAGGATTCCACGTCTTGACTCGTTGCTTTCCTCTTGGAACAGCTCAAACTCATTACAGAACCCATCACTGCAGCAAATCAATAAATTCCCCTACAATTAGGCGAAAAAACCGAAACTTTACAGCCAAAAACACATGATCAAGATATGGGCATAAAACACTAATCAGATACAAGTAAACCCTAATTATATTTTCTATGGAACCGACATAAACCTTAAGGAACCAGTCCAATCAATTCGATTCCACATCGATAAAGCCAAAGTGAAAAACTTTAAAAACAAAAATTGTTCAGACAGTGAGGTAGAGTTAACAGACAGATTCAGGACACGAAAATCTCACCCGATGCAGGGAAAGATGAGAAATTTAGGAGTGACGAATCTGGAGATCTTTCGTATCCACACGCATATGTTTCGGATTTGTCTTTTTCTTTTTTTCAAAGACGAATTTTGTAGTTGAAACAATTCACATACGATTTTTTCTTTTTTTTGGTGATTTAATCGTGGCCGTTGGATAAAGGTATCGGGTTTTTTAGGTAATCCAGTCTAAACTTATTCCAAGTCAACTAAAAATTATAAAATTACTTTAGCGTAGAAATAAAATTAACAAGCTGTTGACATAATCGTATTCTAGAATTTTTGTTTATAATACTTTTTTACTAGTATGTATGTACTTAATTTTGACACATTGCTTAAACCAAAAAGATGAACCGGATTGGTGTTTGGTTTTCTCTTAAACCTTTTTCTTCCCGCCAATCTGTACTTGCTGATTTCTCGGTTTAAGTAAAGTTCATGATGTGATTAGAGAGAGCATATTAGTCTGATTTGACTTGTTCAAATTTGATCATTTCTAGGATCAAGTTTCATTGACAAAACATCCTGATGAGTTTCTTACAAGGTTTCTTTTTTCTTGTTCTCTGTACAACTTGTTGCTGTTATAAGATGTTCTTCTTCTCCAACTTTTGTAGCATTGAAGTAATACTAAATCATCCGCTACGAATAGTCTCTTCTGAGCAAAGCTTTGAGTTTTTTTTTTCTTCTGGTTTTAACACATGATGAGATCTCTTTGTTTGACGGCTAATCATGAGATTTTTGTAGCATTTTTTACATTATTGTTATAATGGATTAGAGAGGATTCGTATGAACATCTTATAACACACAACTAATCTCCTTAGAAACATATGAATATAACGTTTGTCACTATGTTAAGTCTGGTCCAACTAGTGAAATCATCATGACCACTTCTTTTGCTGTGAACTATGCAGCTCATCAATCAGTTGATATTTGTTCTGTGCAAAGCCATCACAAAAATCCAAATCTGTTTCTTACTCACACTGAGTCACACAAACACACACACACACACACACACACACACACACACACACACACACACACACACACACACACACACACACATGATTCATATGAGAAAAAGAAAACATAAGTAACTCCTTAGAAACATATGATTATTTCTTTCGCGACACTAATAAACATGACGTGCAGGTGCAGATGAGAACAAACATAAACCAGTGTCTTGTTCAATCACAGAACAAGAAACGCTTAAGGCTCAAAATAAAGGACAAAACTCGGTTGGAACAAAGAAGGCACTCTTGTGGGTTCGAGAGGAAACTTTGAAAGGGCCATATGTTTCATGAATCTCTTAGTTAAGTCTTGGTCTTTGTTCTTGTTTTAGGAACACTAGTACAAATTTTACTCAGTGTACCATTTGAATTATTCATATCCACACATGTCACAATTCCCATCATCTACACGAACGTATGTCTAGTTTTTTTTTTTAACCTTTTTACTTACATCTCTGTTTCATCTTCTTCCCTTTTTTTTTGCTGTGGGTAAGAAAAAAAGTGTAAGGGAGAATGATAATGATGACAAATAGCTGTTGAGACTGAGTAGTAGTAGAACGAGAAAGGGGCCGACCTTGAGTTATATATAGAAATAGGTCCACCCAAAACCGTAGGATTCATGATGAGATATTTACTATAGGTACTTCTATATTTAAGAGTAAAGTATCGAGAAAATAAAAGAAAAGAAACTTTGACTATAAAACTTTTACATTAAAATCTCTAAACCCCTTACTAAAACCCTAGAGATAATGCTTTCATTTAACAAAGACCATAACATGATGCTTTAACAAAAACTAAACCCAATATCTAAAATCTTAACCACTTTTTATAAATTAGACTCTCACACAAACAACAATACAATACTACGAAAATGTCACTCATCTTACCAAAGTCAAATGAAATGTTAAAAACAATCATATATATACTATGTGTGCTTTGCTATTTTCTTGATTTGCATGTAACTTTGCATTATTATTATTGTACGCAAATACTCTCTCTCTCTATGTATTGTTAGAGAATGATTCTTTTTATGTTTCTGTTTATGTGCTTATGAATAAGAAGATCCTTTCTAACAATGTTACACTTCCTTAGACAAATCTGGCTTCTTTAGCTTTTGTCGACGTCTGATGATGTAATGTGATACTGATTGAGTCGAAGTGTGTGTACAACTACAACAACTACAAAAATAGAAGTAGAGATGCTTTTGGAAAAGTAGTAACTTTTTTTTTTTTTGGTTACCAACCTTAAGCATCACACTTCTCTCTACCACTTGATGTCTTTATGAAATTACAGCTGTCTCTTCTCTTGATATGACTTGTTCTGCCACTTCCTTCTCTCACTCTTCTAATAATCACCCTTCTCTGTCTCTCCTCTCTATCTCTCCACAAAATGATTGATCTATCTTACATGATACATAATCTGCAATATCACTACCTTAAGCTCAGTCTAAATTCATAAAACATTTGCTGGTTACTATATATTTCTTACTCTAGTACTCTTTTCCTTTGGTTCGAGTTCTTCTTTCTTGGCTTGAAGTAAAAGTAACGGTATCGATATATTACTTTCAAGCCAAGTTTATAGCTCTTCTTCGGTGACTATGCTCTACCTTTTTATAATCTATACATAAACACTTGTCATATACAAGGATAAGACACTCAAATCATTACTCTTAATCGTTGTTATGAGAATTTGGACCACATAAGAAAATGTACGAATGTATTATAACCACATAGATAACATATCTGTCCCCATGAAGTATACAAAACTGGCATTTATCATTTGATTAATATAGTATATATCCCTGGCTACATCGAAACAGCTATGAATTTGCTTTCTTAAACTTTTGTTTCAACACTTGATGTCCCAAAATAATTAAAGAAACCTTTTACATTAAACATCTTTCTTTATCAAAATATTTAAGGTATCGATTGTTCCAACCGCTATTTTTGTATTGTAATCGAATACATATCATCTTTAGTTTTTTGCCCCATACTTTTTAAAATTAGATACAATAAACATAAACACAAACGCAAACAAACAATTATCAGTTAAAACAAAACGTTTGTTTTTGTAACGTAATCTCGAACCAAAAGTATATATTTTTCATCACTAAAGAAAGGTCTCTTAATTTACTTAGAGGTTCACTGATTTTGGATTCGTTAATACAAAAGATTAGGGTAAAGATTATATGATGGAAAACAGATAAAAAAAATAATTAAGAAAAGAGAGCATATATATCTCTAGATCTCTCAAGTGGGGGCAGTTTGACCCTTAAAAAGAATCAAAATTATTCGAACATCTCTCTTTCCACCGTCCGATTAGAAATCACTGAATGAAAAGATTAAGCAGCACTAATCAGTAATCAGTTGCGTACCACATTAATTAAAATTTAATCATAACTTCTCCTTCTGGGGTAGACAGGTAAGTATCACCACTAGCTCATTGTCACTATCACTGCATTCATTTACATATCCCTCATAATAATAACTATATAGAAATGCTAAGAAAACAGATAAAAGTTTGTATTTTAAAATTTCAAATCTTTTTTTCTTTAATTTGTTCCATCATCTTGATTTTTTTTTTCCATAATGTTTCTTGCACTATACGTAATCATATCAACTCTATTTTATTGTCTACTTTTGTATGTCAATGTTCGGACAGTCAATTACAACTTTTCATATATATATTCTACGTTGATGATTCGAAATTGAAATTTTATAAAATGGAGACCATCACATTAATTGATGTGGAATAGATTCAAGAGGCAGATGATGATGATAATGGTCTATACATAGTTGCAGTTTATGGACCATCACACAATTAATAAGATAACGAAACATTCTCTCATAGATGAAAATTATACATTGGTAAGAGCTTTCTTGATAAGTTTTTGTCAGGTTCTTGAATATAAAGCTTGGATATCCATTTTTTTTTTTTTTTTTGGTTAGTTCTTCTGTAAGAGTTGAAAAAAAATAGCAGATAATAATTAAGAAAATGGTGGAGACTAATGTCTATTGTTTAAAGAGAAAAATGATTGATAAAATTTGATAAAGAATATGGTAAGAGGGGGGGAAAGTCTCTTTAAGAAACCGAGGTTTTTGAGTTGTCCGACGCTTCCCATAGATTTCATGGTCCCCTTCTTCCACTGCCTCTACTCATTTCTCTCGCACCCATTCTTCCTTCCTTCTTACTATATTATATACTCTTACTAATTACACATTCTTCATCATGTCACTTAACAATATTTTTATACATTTGATAAACCTTACACGTAGTGTTGTTGTGCTTACCAAAAACTATTGGTGTTTTATTTGCGGAGATGGGATCATTCTGTTTTTACATCTTCTTGATGAAAGCATTAGCCAAACCCGGGTTGTTTTACTAGTCTTTTGTGGCAACTACTGATCACGAACGACGATTGTGACTACATATGTTTGCCATTACTACATCAATGGTATGACTTATATGAGTCGCTTAGTATAAATATAAATGAATAAATGATCATATGTTTTCGAAAACTCTATCTCAGCTTCACATGCTGCACTCGAGACGATGCTTTCTAATCTTCGTCTTGATAACACTTTACCAAATCTTATTTTTGGATATATGACAGTGATGAACGACTTGATATTAAAACCCAACCAAATAATAATACTACTAATGGACATTCAATATTGGTAACAGAAATAAAGCACTCTTTAGCTTACAAGATATATAAAATATTTTCACTTCTGCATTTTAATTTTATTTTTTTTAGCTCTGCCATGTTGCATTTATTATATATCTTCAACATACATATATCAAACTCTCATTTATTGTTTTAAAATAGAGTACATAAACATTCCTTTTGAGATATCATCCGCCGTTAAATGGGTCCGAAATGCCACTCTGAAGTTTTAAGACATTTAAAAATAAAAATAAATAAATTAGGATTTACGATTATAATAATTTCTCAAACGAATCTATGGTTCGTACTATATAAATCAATCTCGATCAACTAAGTCACTAGTGCGGCATCTTATAATGAAATAATTTCGACAATACAATTAAGTTGTTGACTCTTTTAATATACTAATCACTACTAAGTAAGTAACGTTTTAATCAATTAATAAAATACATTGAAAGAGTTGTTTTTCTGATAAGTAAAATAAAAATATGTGTTGATAGTATATAATTTATATAGGACTGATGATGGCTTGTAAACATCACAGAGACCTATGTCCTAAAAAGAATTTTTTGAGTATGTGCATCGACCTAAAAGGATACATACAAAGAATCTCATCATTCCCATTTATTCTTTTTTGGCAAATGTTTGCAAATTGTAGAAAAAGTTGGCATCATAAACGAAAATATGAATTTTGGTATATAGAGCTTACTATTAAGTATTAATCATTTTCTTGTTTTTATTTTTGCTTGGAGAAAAGAAAAAATAACCCACGAAATCAGTAGCTCGAGGGAGGAAAAGAGGGAAGAAGCACCTAAAAAGTTGAACATGCACTACTAAAACTCAAACATGTATAAATTGAGAACATAGAAAAATAATTAAAACCCCACTCAAAACCCTAATAAAACATGCAATGGCTCCTTATTTTCTTTTAGTTATTGAATTTTTTAGCAAAGAAAAGGGACCAAATGTGTAAGTCATATAGTAATTTACTTAGTATTGTTTTTAGGTTGATCGATGGAATATCTCAATATTTAATCTTTCACCATAAACAAATGTCAAATGTAAATTACCTTTTCAAAAAGATCTTTAGGATTTTTTACAACCAAATAAAGACATACAAGAATCTTCTATTTGGCTCCCCTTATCTTTTGTTTCATTGCATGAACTTCACAAGAAACCAAAACATATAAAACGTTACACACATTGAATGTCATACGTTTCGATATGGTTTAACATCATCACGAGCTTTGTAATGATCAAACCTAAATAAATGAAAATGGTGAAGAATCAATATATACTAAGGTATTGGGGTTCATGATTGTTAGATTGTTGTTTTCTTTTTATATTCTTGTGTTTATATTGAACAAACTAGAGACTTTATTCAGAAGAAGAATCATTTTCTCCCAAAGACCAAAACAAAAGAGAGCTCATGGAGTTGCTTCTACAAAATGAAACAAACTCATTACATTTTTTATATCTTCAAGTGTAAGACCCACAAAATTAAGATATATATCATGAAATGAATTCTTGTCCAATATTTACATTATTTTCTTCATAATTTCATATTTCAACTATTTTTTTCTTTTATTTTCTTGTAGTACTAGTACCCATTTTTAAAAAAAAAATAAGGAAAATAGAAACAAATATATAAATTAGACAAAATTACCAATCATCTTTCCTCCTCAGTAGGAAACATCCATCATTGTACCCAACAATCCCTTTCATCCATCCTTAGAATCTCAAAACCTCAACTTCCTTCTTCTTCTTCTTCTTCTTCATCTTTACACTCTTCTTTCTTCTACATACACTCAAATGCATATACATATACATAAGACACGTATAGGTACACATGCATACATAAAAATACAGAGATACACCTATCAATCTCTCTATAAAACCTTTTTATTCTCCTCTTCCCTTTTTCCCTCTCCCCCAATTTCCTCACTTCTCTCTTTCTCTCTCTCTTAATATCTTTTCATTGATCATCGACCAACCAAAACCAAAACCAAAACCAAAAGAAAAGAAAACATAAAAACACAAACAAAAAAAATCAGATCTTTGAAAGCTTCTTCTTTATTATATAACTCTACAATATGGATCCGTCCTCTGCAAACTCAGTGAACGGATTCTACTCATTTCTAAACAGATCAATGGAAGATCTCGAAAGAGTTTATCTTTCAAACAACTTCATGTCCGTACACTTCTTACAGAGAGCTCTCTGTCTTCTCCGCACCTCTCACTCTCATCTCACTCTCTTAGTTCAAAAGCTTCAGCTTCCCGTCGGTGACAAATGGCTCGACGAGTATATGGACGAAAGCTCTAAACTTTGGGAAGCTTGTCTCGTCATCAAATCCGCCGTCTCCTCCGTCGAAAACTTCTCCTCCGCTGGGATTTCAATCGCTTCCACCCTCGATGGTCATCACCACCACCGTCGTCTCTCACCTCAGCTCTCTCGTCAGGTTCGTGATCGTAAAAATCGAATCTTTTTGCCAAAATAAAAAAAATTGAATCTTTGAGTGTTTTGGGATCAAAGTTTAAGTTTTTGTTGGGTTAATGGTGGTTAGGTGATAAGGGCAATATCAGGATGTAGGAGAGAAGCGATAGGGATAGAGGAAGAAAACAGAGCATTGATGGAGAACAGAGTTCAAAGGTTTCCGTTTTGGTCGGAACAAACGTCGGCGACGGCGATAGAATCGTCGACAAAGTTACAAAACGGATTCAGCGGTTTCCGCGGCGTGCTCTACGCGACGAGGAACATGAGCTCGCTTCTCCTCATGGTATTAATGAACGGTCTCGTCTACTGTTTCCCAGGAGACACAACAACGCAAACGCAGACGCAGATAACGCAAACGCAGAGTCAAGGCGGAGGTTTCGCCGGAGCGATGGGTCGGTTGCAGCAGAGAGTGGCGGCTGAGGTCGGGAGGATGGGGATGAGGAAAGGGATACTGATGCACGAGTACCGGCGGAGCAAATCAGCGTTGGAGGAGCTAAAAGCAGAGCTGGAGAGAAGGTTCTGCAACGGCGGGGGCGGGGGAGAGAGGGAGGAGGAGGCGGAGGAGGAAGAGAGGGAGCTGAGAGAGAGAGTGGAGAATCTGAAAGGGTACTTTGGGAATTTAAGGAACGGGACAGAGAGTATAGTGGCGCAAATCGATGATTTCTTTGATGAAATTGTTGAAGGAAGAAAGAAGCTTTTGGATTTCTGCAGCCATAGATGAATCAATGAATCATCTCAAAAGCTGACATTTTGGTTTTCTCTTCTTCTTCAGTTTACCCAAATAAAATAATTGTGTAAGCTTTAGATGAATCAATCAGTTGGTAGGGAGTTGTTGTAGTTTTTTTTTTTTTGATCTTTGTTGTTATGAAGAAAAAAAAAATTGAGAATTTTGTCAGTATTGATGATCTATTTTAGTATTTTGATGTTTATATATGAAATTCTAGAAATGGATTGATTCTCTGAATCATATCTAAAGTAAATGTCTGCTTTTTCAGTTTTTTGGTAGTTCCAGCCGTTGGTAGATAGATAGATGTCTTCTGGAAGATTTCAAAATGTTAATGTGTGTTTTCATATGATTTTTCTTTGTCGGCATAGAGAGTCTATAGACTCTAAACACTAAAAACTAATCGAAATGGCGGCAATAATAATAATCAAAGTGAAAGTTTTTACTGAAGAAGAAGAAGAAGTGATCACCACCTTCACTAATAAGTTTACTATATCATTAGAGTACTAATCACACAAGTTAAAACAAAAGAAATAGCAAATTGGTCAAAAAGTTGTCTCCTTGAGATAGTTGTAGAAGAAGAAAAAGGTAGAAAATGAATATAGCCACAATGATCAAAAATTGAACTGTGATTTGATTCACATAGGAAGGAGAAGTTAATTTTGAAAGCTGTGATATTTTTGGGTGTTGTGGTGGTGGTGTTAATCAATAATAATGATGAGAATGGATCCTTTGTAAAGCAGATTTGTCTTTTGGCACTCTCATCTAAATATATATTGCTTTGGGCACACCATTTTGGTGGCTTTTCTTTAGTGTCAATAATTATGATTTATTACTACCAATTTCACACCCTAAATCCCATTCCCCACCCACTGTTTCAAAGCACTCCTCCTTGTTTACTTCTTCAAGTTTCTTCTAATTACTTCTTTTTTTAATTGTTTTTTTCTGCTTTACACACAATTCACTCATCTTTTTTTTCTCCTTTTCTCTAACCCAAAAAGAACATCTTTGACAAAATATTCAATTACTTCTTTGTAATCAATCTATCAGTAAATCACTAAATCTCAAACCCTCAAGAATCACTTGGTATATGTGTAATCAAGTACCAAAAGTGCCTATTCCCATTACTGTTAGCTCTTTTTAATTCTTGATTTCTAATAAAAAGAACAAATTAAAGTTAAAGTCGAAACATTTTATCAAAATCTTCTAAATGAGTACAAATCAATTCATTCAAAGCCAATTATGGCCGGAAAAAAAAAAAGCAATCTTACTTACTGTCATAATAACAATCATTCCAAAAACTCAAACTTCACTAAGTGCATACATACAACACAATAGACTTCACATGGATGATGTTCAAAATTTCATCTAAGCAACATCATCAAGATGATTAGTAACAAATAAAGAAAGGAACCCTGTGACTTGTGTGACTAAACCCTTTTCCTGATCTCTTCTAATTTGTCTCTTAGGCCAATCTCTATATTCATTATAGATGGGGGGAGAGAGAGAGAGATGTCATCATCAAAAACAGAAGACAAAAGCATTGCAGAATCAAAAAATGCTTTTAGAGACTCTCAACAGAATTCCATGCTTTGCCTCCTCAATAGGACACCAACTTTCTTATTAGCTGATTTTTTACCAAATATACGTTACCAACTTACACAATAGTAATCGAAATCACAAAAATATATATTGTACTGTATAACAAAATTAATAACAAAATAAATTAATTATGTATTATTCCTATTGGCACAGTTTTTTTTTTGTTTTTTCTCATCTTTCAGAATATTAATGGTTTTTTTTTTCTCGAAGGAAAATAGCAATGATTGAGGTCAGAAGCAAGTTCTCCTCTGGCTACAGAAATTATTTGTGTTCCCCAACATATAAACATCCTTGAAAGTATATTATTCCCTTTTCTAGAATTTTAAAAAAGAAAATTTCATCTGCATTACAGCTAATTTTTCCAGAATTTGTTTTGTTTTTTTCCCGTTCTATTATTATTACCACTTGAAAAAATAACTTAATAAAAGTAATACCCAACACACCTTCAATGACTATGTACACAAGCAATAAAAATAAACGACCATGGTAGCAACACACAAGAGTTTGTTTTTGCTCCCCCCCCCCCCCCCCAAATATTGATCTAAAGTGTTTAGCATAAATGTAGGGAATGTTGTTGACATTGTAAAATAGAGAGATGGGTGTATGGACTTGGATTACCATGGCAACAAAAATAATGAGAAGAGAGATTGAGCTGGTCTCTTTCTTCAGGCTGACGACTCACATGTCAAATGCAGGCATTGAAAACTGAGTTGCAAAGGCTTCCACCTGGTTCCGAAGATCTGCAATGTCTTTACTGTGATAGATGCTTTTGAGTGGCTCCTTTTGCAACTTCCCGTGTTCCCTTTGTCCAGCACTTGCTATCTGAGCAGCTCTATATAGAAACTCTGCCATTGTCTCAAAATCTGGTTCTAAACATCCTCTTGAGGTCATAGCCGGACTACCTGATACATGAGTCAATTTCCAAGAATCACACAACAAGAAAAAAGAACTCAAAGCACGAAGAGTTTCATTCTAGTTCCAGAGTGCTAAGGTTTCCTAGTGAATTTGGTTTGCTTACCTATTCTCACTCCTCCAGGGGAAATAACGCCGTTTTCGTTAAAAATGGCGACTTTGTTGACAGTGATATGGCACATCTCGCATACTTTCTCATACACCTTGCCTGAAAATCACAAGGCGGCAGGTTTGATTCCTCTTTATACACTGAGCTAAACATATGCATTGTACAGACGTCAAAAAAGTAAGACTTAGATTATTGGGAAACTATGACATAAGTTTAAGTAACGATCTCAAACAAGTTTGATAATAGATTTCAGACTGATCACTGGCCATCAAGCTAGTCCTGTAGGCTAACCAAAACCTAGAGAGATGAGTAATAAGAGATACTCTTAAGATACCCAGCCAGTGTCTCAAATAGTTCGGTAAAATCTTGCCTATACACCCGTGACAAATGATTAATGTAACGCCATCGAAAATAAGCCCAATTTGCAATGCTGCTAAAGTACCAATAGTTGTATTGAGACATACATTTAGGTCACATAGTGTGATTACTCATTTCCTATCTGCTAAGAATAAGAGGAATTACATACCTGTCAAGCCCAAAGGACTCAGATCCCAGAGAAGCAAATGATTATCGGTGCCACCTGTTACCAACTTGCACTTTCTGCTTATCAAAGCAGATGCTAAAGCTTTAGCATTTTTTTTTACCTGTCGCATGTAAAGCTTGTACTCTGGTGAAGCGGCCTGCTTGAGGGCAATGGCTAAAGCAGCTATATGGTTATTGTGAGGCCCTCCTTGCAGCGATGGAAAGACAGAAAAGTTGATTTTTTCTTCGTAATCATATTGAGTACTGCTCTCACAGTGACTAGGATTCATGCTTTGCTTCTTGGGCTTCAAGCCTCTCCTATAAAATATGATACCGCCCCTAGGTCCACGGAGAGACTTGTGTGTCGTTGAGGTAACAATATCGCAATAGTCAAATGGATTTGGACTTTCCTACAACATTTAAAGAAACCAAAACTTAGGTGACTGATGCAAAGAAAATAATTAATATCACTGAGTAAACGCAAAGATCAAGTGCTTAACCCCACGTTTGGTGACTGATGCCAAAGAGAAAACAATCCAAAGTGCAATATGAAAACGAAAATGAACATACCTTGGCAGCCACAAGACCGCTAATTTGGGCCATATCAAACATCAAAACAGCTCCACATTTGTCTGCAATATGCCTAAACCTAGGGAATTCCCAGTCTCTCGGATAAGAACTCCCACCACAAATAAGTATTTTGGGACGATAGTCAAGCGCCTTTTCCTCAAGCTTATCATAATCAATATACCCTGTACGAGGGTCAACCTTATATGGAAAGCTTTCAAAGAATATAGAGGCACCCGAGACTTTCTTTCCACCTGGTGTGTAATACCCGTGACTCATATGACCACCTGAGGGAGAATCCAATCCCATAATTCGTTCACCGGGCATCAAAAGACCAGCGAAAACAGCGAAATTGGCGGAAGTGCAGGAATAAGGCTGCACGTTAACCCCCCATTTCTCATGATTTAGTCCAAAAGCAGTAAGCGCACGCTCTTGGCAAAGAATCTCAATCTGATCAATATACTGATTCCCCGTGTAGTATCTAGCTCCGGGCATACCTTCCGAGTACTTATTAGTCAAATGGCTTCCTAAAGCTTCCATGACAGCCCGGCACACAAAATTCTCAGAAGCTATAAGCTCAATACCTCTAAATTGTCTCTGCTTTTCCTTTTCCATAAACTCATGAATCTCAGGATCAGCTTCTTCAATCGACTGATTACCCCAAGCCTTAACAATAGCTCGTCTAGTCTCAATCCCTGAACCAGCTGCAAATCTCTTACAAGAACTTGATGATATCATTGAATTGGAATTACCACCTCTACACCGTTTTAACTTCATAGGATGACCCAAGAGAATAAATTGCTCCTCTTCCCTTTGATCATCATCACCATCTTCATCATAATCACCAACAGCGTCATCATCTTCCTCGACGACTCGGCTACGCGATCCGGTGTCATCGAATCTCTGCTCAAGCAACTGAAGCGGAACAGGAGGCATAGGATTAGACGATTGGCGGAAACTGGAATCAATCTGAAGCTTGATTGAGTCATCAGCAATTGGGATTCTCGGAGGTATCGGCAAAGCGTGGGAGCTACCAAATCCTAAAGAGAGATCTGATTGAGCAGTACGATCCATACCCAAAATCCAGAAAGAACCCAATTACCGCCAAAAAATAGTAAACGAGAAGGAGAGAAATCGAGAATTCTCAGCTGAAACAGCAATAGAGACAACAGTTTCTGCTACAATGGAAACAACGAAAGCTTCGTCCTTTACAATTATCTTGAGCTGCGGTTGAGGTTTCCATCCAATTTCGAAGAAACCCTAAAAGATCAAAACCCAGAGAAAAGTCGAGTTTTGCTTCTTCTCTCGTCGGATGAATACGGAAGCTATGGATGAGAAGAAGACGACGAAAGAATTGGGGAAGAAGAAAAAAAAACAGCGAATAAACGAAAATGGAATTTGGAAGGGTTACCGGCTGAATAGGTAAAGACGGCAACATGACTGGTTCCATACGCCGTATACTTTACAACCGGGAGTAGCCGGTGACTTTATTACGGTTTAGAGTGATTTTGAATTGATTGGTTTAGTTTACATTCATAGTTCACATACTCAAACGCTATGTTGCATTTGCAAACCAATCACCAAAAAAACGTTTACGAGACCAACCACACACAAAAAGAATAAAAGCGTTTTGTAGAATTAAAAATTTAGTTGAATCACACGCATCTCCTTTCTAGTGAATACATTTTGCATGCATGTGATCTTTATTTCTATTTCAAGTATTCGTATTGCAAACACAAAACCCAAAAAAATATACATGTAATTAACTATCATTTATATTTTCTAAGTAAAATCTGCAAATGTAATGTTTTGATTGCTTGATTGATAATTAAATACGAGTCTATGTTAATTAAAAAAGAGTTATAAATTCATATGATAAATTTCCTTAACTACACTTTTGAATGCTTTTATTTCATATAACTAGAACCACAAAAAAAAAAAATCTTAAACTTCCAAAAATATCACAAAAAACTTGTGTGGTTCATAAGCAAAACTGTTAACTTGAAGAGTTAAATAGTAATAATATAATTGAATAAACCATATAAGGTTATAATATTTAATTTGTTGGTCAAGAAGTTCATATTTGTTTGAACATATAAATAAATGGAGTAAATCACCTGACATATTACTAGCTACTCTGAATATTAAACAGTCAAACTTGCATTTAATATCAAGTTATAAAAGAGAGAGTGTTACTAATCTCTTCTTTGCATGTAGAAGAAGAAGTAACTTGCGTTTCCATTATTGATACGACTTGAAATTTTTCGTTCTCTCTTCTTCTCTCATCTCATCTCATCTCTCTCCCTCTCTTGTGCTTCAACCATGAAGCACAATTACAAAGTCTCCAAGAAACTAACCTTGACATGGGTTCCTCTTCTCTGCATTTCTTGTTTTTTCCTGGGAGCAATCTTCACTTCCAGGTTCTGTTTTTTTTTTTTTTTTTGAGTTTTTCTTCTTCTCCTTCATTAATCTTTCTACGGTTATAAAAGTAAATTTTGACCATGTCTCCTTGCTTTTTGATTATGTTTTGTTGTTGTTGTTGTTATTGCATTTTTCAGATTGCGATCAGCTTCGTCCGATTCAGGTAGCCAGCTCATATTACAGCACCGGCGTGATCAGGAACTCAATATCGTTTCAGAAGACTATGCTCATGAAAAAGTAAACTGTTCTTACAAAATTTGATCTCATTGAATTGGTCACAAACGTTATTTGGCTGTTACAAACTCATATTTTGGAATCTTTTGGATTTTACCTCAAATACAGAAAAAATCACAAGAAAAAGATGTCATGGAAGAGGTTTTGAAAACCCACAAAGCAATCGAGTGAGTCCATTTTTTTTTTTTTGAAAATTTTAGACTTGAATGTTGATTAATAGTATTTTGATGATATATTATACACTTGTTGTGACCACAGGTCATTAGATAAGTCAGTTTCTATGCTTCAGAAGCAGCTCTCTGCTACACAGAGTTCTCAAAAGATAGTTGATGTCTCAGCCACCACCAATTCTTCAACAGAAGGAAACCAAAGGAAGAAAGTTTTCATGGTGATTGGTATCAACACTGCCTTTAGCAGTAGAAAACGTCGCGATTCGATTAGAGAGACTTGGATGCCTCAAGGTATTTTGTGATATCCTTCCTTTCTCAAAACCTCTGGTTACTTTCATGCTTCATTGACCTATCTTGCATGCCTCTAATCTTATTTAGCTTTTGTATGTAATCTATATCACAGGGGAAAATCTTGAGAAACTGGAACAAGAGAAGGGAATTGTCATCAAATTCATGATTGGACACAGGTGAATTTATTCATGGAATATATAGTGAATGTTAGCAATGTATAGCCTAATGTTTCTTTTTAAAAAGGTAGCCTAAGACTTTTGCTTCAATGTGTTGGCAGTTCAACTCCAAATAGTATTTTGGATAAAGAAATTGATTCAGAAGATGCTCAATACAAAGATTTCTTTAGACTGGTGAGATCAAATTAATCCTACAAAAACTTGATACTTCTAGGATTTGGTTTACAGTTTTCTTGATTTTGTTTAAATCTTTAATCATTACAGGATCATGTGGAAGGATATTACAATCTGTCTGCGAAAACCAAAAGCTTCTTTTCTAGTGCAGTTGCAAAGTGGGATGCTGAGTTTTATGTCAAGATTGATGATGATGTTCATGTCAATCTTGGTACCAAAATCTGTTTCTTGAGATACTTTTTTAAAAATTATTTTCTCATTGGATTTAAATGTTGAATATATTTGCTCAGCCCTTTGCCTTTTCAGGTACGCTTGCTTCCACATTAGCTCTTCACCGTTCTAAGCCGAGAGTCTACATTGGATGTATGAAATCCGGGCCTGTCCTTACGAAAAAGTAATCATCTCAATGTGTGCATGTTGTTGTATATGTCATTCTTTTTCCAGTATTCTATTTATTTGGATTCTAAACCATTTGTTCTCAAACCGTGTAGGACGGCCAAGTACCGTGAACCCGAGTTTTGGAAATTTGGAGAAGAAGGTAACAAATATTTCCGACATGCGACAGGACAGATCTATGCCATCTCAAAGGACCTTGCCACATACATATCTATCAACCAGTACGTACCTATATAACTACGTGTTATATTGGATTGTTAATAAAGTGCATTATGTTTAACAAAGGTCAATGATTATTTTTAAAGCATTTCATTTCATGTTTAATGTGACTTTGCAGGCCAATTTTGCATAAGTATGCAAATGAAGATGTGACACTCGGGTCATGGTTCATCGGTCTTGAGGTTGAGCAAATCGATGATCGTAGTTTCTGTTGTGGTACTCCTCCAGGTAAATGCTCTCTTTTTATCCTTATATGTCTTTATTATATATTAGTAAAGAAAGGTTTTGGTTTTTCTCATCCTGTTATACTCTCTCTTCCCCAAAGACTGTGAACTGAGGGCAGAGGCTGGAGAAATGTGTGTGGCGTCATTCGACTGGAAGTGTAGTGGGATATGCAGATCAGTCGATAGAATGTGGATGGTTCATGCAATGTGTGGCGAAGGTGATAAAGCTGTGTGGAATGCGAAATTATAACTCTCTTACATCGGAGAAAAAGATAAAAGAGAGGAGATGAATATTATTGTTTTGTAAAGAACCAAAAGGTTGATCGCTTAGTACTGGACAAGAAGCTGAGGAAGACCTTTTTAGTTCAATGTATAACTTTCTTGTGTCAAGCAGACCGTTTTAGTTCAGTATTTATTTTCCTTTTGTTTGTGTTTGTGGAAAAATAAAATTGAGACTTTTCTATATGAAGGCATGAGAAAACTCGTTATCATAAACCTGTGTCCACGAATACGTATAAATTGAAAACATTAGCTCTAAATAGCCCAAGATTGATAAAACCTTAAAAATTCTAACTTCAAATATTTGTCCGTAGCTAGTTCATATCTAACTTTCACGTGGTAACTGGAAACGGCACAATGGACAATCATGACGGGTCGCAAACCATTCCACAATACAGCAATCGTCAAACTCGTGTCCGCAGCTTAAGGTCACGACCATCTCCCCTTCTTTAAATTCCTCCATGCAAATTGTACACATGATGGCGTCGCGATCGTCAGAGTCGTTGGAGGTCTTCTTCTCATTGTTTTTGTATATTCTCCTTGACAAAGAGTCAACTGCAAGCTTACTTGCCGGTCTAGACAGGACATCGTCGGTGGTCTCATCGAATGATTCTTGAATGACATCGTTGGTGGTCTCATCGAATGATGCTTGGATGGCCTCTTCAGGAAAAGAAATAATCTTAGAGGTCATGTACACTGTCACAGCACAAACTCGAGAGGAAACCGATGAAATCAAAGCAAAGACAAGATCCGTGAGGTCAGAGCAAACATCGCAAATATATCGGTAAGTGAACCCTAATGAGCACATCCAGTGCGTCAGATGTGCCAATTCATGAGAGTGGCTATACTGGACGGCTTCGAAGCTAACGTACGGGATAACGAAACTTAGTGTAGGATCAATTGTTTCGCCGAAGCCTTGGACACTTACGCAGATTTTGATTGTTCGAGCATCTTCGGGTTTAGGATTGTGGTCTATTTCGTGGTCTAAGGATAGTTCCGCTTCCATTGCTAATACCAATCAAAAAGAATTTTAAGAGAATCGATCTGCTCGAGTTTAAGGTTTCTGTAGAATTAAAAGAATATGATTTGGGGAAGAATAATCTTTCTTATCGTGTGTTAACCGTCTCAAGAGAATCGATGCAATATATATGTCTTTTTTTTACTTTTTTTTTAACACTATATATGTTAATTTATGTTTAACCAATTATAATAGAAAATTAAACATAAATAAGTAAATATCTAAATTTCTTAATCTTTATCAGTTTAGGACTTATATAATATTTTTCAACTTGGAAATCACAATAAAAAACTATGACGTCCATAATAGTTTGTCCAAGCTTGTTCCCCAAGATCTCAAATAGTTTAAAAAAAAAAAAAAATCTTTTTATATACATATTAGAGTTTTAGTTTTCCAATTTTTGTTAATTATGAGAAACAACAATTTTTGATAAAAGATATATTTTATTGCATATATATATATATATATATATATATTATATATATAGCCAAAGAGCGAGCCAATAATTCGACTATGGTTTGAGACCCTAGGAGTCATTGGTTCAAATCTTTTTGGACAAAATGATATAAACTACTTATTTTCGGGTTTAAGAAGTTGTACGAATCTACGTTTTATAACCCCTTTATTTTTTTTTTAAATGACATAGTAAAGAAAACAAGAAGAGAGTACACTAAAGAATAGAAAGTTTCTTACAGTTAGACTTCTTAAGATGCATGGCCGTGGGGTTGGGTCGACCACCACGATAGACTTCTGAAGGGAGAAAGAACAACAAAATGAGGTTTATAGTAGCAAATTCTAATGAGCTAATCAAGTCACTTAGTCCTAATATAATCATCCTCCTTTTATTACAGATACTTTTGCTGAGTTATATATGAACTTCTGATTTGCCTTTCCACAGGAACTTGGAGCCTAGGGTATTGATTTATAAATTATAAGATATATACAACCTTGAGTGGAAAATATTTTGAAAGGTACCCAACGTATTGACCCTAATTAGTTTGATCAATATTGAGCGCTAACGCCGGAGCCCGATTCTTAAAAATGGGTATCAATAGTTCATATGCTTGCAATGAAAGGATAAAGCTCAAAGGTTCTGTCTTCTGAGAATACGATTTTTCTTTTATAAAGAGATTATCATCGTTTGAGGCTTTAAAGCAGTTGAAATAAATTACTTATCTATATATAATAGCAAACCCACTTTTTGTTTACTGCTGATGTCATCTTTTAAATCTAACGGTTCAGATTTTTTTTATTTGATATAAAGGTTACTGTTTAATCTCAGAATATATAAAAGCTAAAAATGTGTCTTTTTAAAATGATGTGTCTTTTAAATGTGTCTTTTTAAAAAGATGTGTCTTTTAATAAAAACCCATGTAATTTAATCAATGCAATGTTTCACAGTCACACCCTTTCGTTCCATATATAAATATTCTACAACTCTTTGTTTTCATTAAAAAAATATATTGATTGTTTTGTTTTATTTCATTTACAAAGTTATTTTCCTGAAACAATTGTTTCTTCAAATTTTGTTTTTCCAATCCTATTTGACTTTAAATTTGCTTAGCCATTATCATCTAAAGGTATTAATTGTTATTACCTCTTCGTTAATTAGTTGCTCAAACCCACTTTCTATGGTTGTTGAGATCATCGTTTTAATCTAATGGATGAGATTGTTTCTGTTATGTCATCTAACTGTTTATATTTGTTAATGATCCCAAAAGCTGCAAAGTTTTATACCCAACAATTGTGTTTATTCGTCGTACCCCTAGCTTAAAATTTTCGCACCTGTTTTGTTTTTCACACCTCTTTGTTTGTATATATAGATTTCTATGGGCCTTGAAATTTTTTTTTTTTCTGAGTATTGTTTCACACCTCCGAGATTTAAAAATCTGAATATTGTTTTTTCGATTTATTAGTCTTCGTTGATTAACCATCTTCGTTTAAATATGACTGATTTATTTATTGATTTCCTTATCCAACCTCTGTTTGGTGTTCGATGTATTGATCAAGGTAATTAATTTTGACTATCAGCCTATTTTTCTTATTACTTTTTTGTAAATTTATATAGAATAATGATTTGAAATTTGCTTTATGTGAATACCTTTCATATATCTTGTTTACAATGTTCTCTTCTTGTCACTGAATCGATTTCTGTATTTGCAACAAAATTATTAATTGATTAATTTAACTTCAAAAAAGTATAAAACTCATATAAAATGTAGTAACATGGTCATGGATTTACACTCAAACATCATCAGGTTTGTTTTATTTCATCTTCCTCATTTTATTTTATATTTTGATAAGCCTTTAAACTTATAATTTCTACTCCCGTT